AGATAACAATAAGATAAATATAGAAAAATAGATAATATGAGAAAGAAAAAGAAGAAAATAGAAAGAAATAGAAGGGAATAGAATATTATCGAACCAATTAAGTAGTCTAATTATCATTATGACTAATTTTTATCATGCCACTTCTTTTGTTCACGTGTTCTTTTGAAATTATGGTCGATATTGAATTGGTGACAATATAATTAATGGATTTCTGGTTGATAATCCAGAATTTTTTGAACTACTAGTTGAAAAAGCTAAAGAACTAGTAGTCAACCTTACTACTCTCTTAGAAGAACCATCTGTTGATAAATCAATATTTATATTCAATACTATATTCTATAAGATTAAACCAGAAAATCTAATTAATCTAGAAAAACTATTTGAACCACTTATTATAACTAATAAATCAACAATTAATGACAATGAAGAAGGATCTTCCTTTATATTAACTCAAAAAGAAAAAGATCTTACTAAAGAAATATCTCAAGAGAAATCTAAAAAAAGATCTTCTGACTCTGAAATTTGAAAAGATTAACTCGAAAAATTAATCAGATAAATATATACCAAAAAATTGAAAAATGTCAAAAGAACAATTATTTATTATAAAATTGAAAAATTAATCAATAAATCTCCAAAGAAATATAAACTTCAATAATATAAATTAAAAGATAAACTTAGTGAATCTCTTGGAATATATATTAGAGAAAAATCTTTTACAATTGCTCAAAATGTCTATAAAATATTTAATGATAAAAATCAGATTTAACAAAAAATTCTTTAAATATTACTCAAATTTAATGAATGAAGAATAACAAAATTAAAGAATTCTGAAAGAATCTTTAAAATTTTGTGGAACAAAATCTTTGAAGATGAATCAAATGTTACATTTATTTTTAATAATTCCATAATTAACAAATCTTTTAAAAATAGTAGAAAATATGAAAATCTTCAAAAAATAGTAACAAAATAACAAATTGATAAAAATAATATATACATATCAATTATCTAATAATCATATAATTATTATTATTATTTACCTTTTCTACCTTTATTTTCTACCTTTTCTACTTCTATTATTTACCTTTTCTATCTTTTTTATCTTCATTATTTATCTTTTCTATCTTTTCTACCTTTACTATTCTTACTTTCTACCTTTTCTATCATTTTTTATTTATTTTTTCTATCTTTTATATATATCTTTTTATAATTTTATAACATAGATAGAATTAAAATATATTAATAAATTTTGTATAAATAAGAGTGCTCTTCCATGTATTAATCTCATGTTTCAATGCTTAAACAAATTAATAAATTTTAATCTTGCTATAATAAGTTAACGACTGTCTTATTGTTATAAATTTAATATTTATTCCTATATCTTCTTTTGTCAAAACAAGTTGCCTGACAAAAATAATTTGTTGATTGAACTTCAAATCTTGTAATTCAAGTCACTTTTTATAAATCTTGAGTGAGATCAAGAAACTGAATATTGATTTGTATAGAATTGAATTTCTAATTATTACTTTTGTTTTTGAATTTGGAAAAGATGATTAAGTATTTTTGGATAAGTATATTAATTTGCTATAATATTATTTTTGGTATAGTTGTGCATCACAACTTTAAATAAGTGATATTGATTTGTATAATTATGCATCGTAACTCTAAATAAGTGATATTGATTTGTATAGTTATGTATTACAACTCTAAATAAGTGATATTTTCTTTAGTTATTCATTTTTTTGGTATTGAAAGCACTAGAATATATGATTACAAGTATAGAAATATCAATATCCTTTTTTTAGTTAGTAACTTCTTTTTATCAATCGTCTTTCTGAACACACTCTCCTAACTCTTTTTTTCATCTTTGATAGAATTATTTAACAATTTTTGTCAAAATTGGCACAGATTTAGATACTTATTTTTGCACTGATCAATTTTATTAGTCTATTTCTCTCTCCTAACTTATATAACTTTGTTACTACTAGTAAAGAAACTCTTCATTTAAAGTAACCATAGCAGTAATCTTTCAAGAATTTCTAAAATATTGGAATATAATAATGAAAACAGCAAAAGATGTATTAATAAAAGCTCAAAATAAATAACAAAAGTATGCAAATCAATATTGCAAATTTGAAAAATTTGAAATTGATCAAAAAATTCTTTTATCAACTTGCTTTATTAATATACTTATTAATAAATAAAGATCAATAAGAAAGTTAAATGCTAAATATATTAATCTATTTAATATAATTAACAAAATTTTATCAGTTGTATACAAATTAAAACTTTCAAATAACATGAAAATACATCCAGTTTTTCATATTTTACTACTAAAGTTATATAATAAAAATGATGAATTTAATAGATCAACATTATTATCAGCTATTATTACATTAGATAATGAAGAAAAATTAAAAATATTCTAGATAAGCATACAGTGAGAAAATAATTGCAATATCTTGTAAAATAAGCTGGATATTCTTTATATGATTTTATTTGGAAATCTTTGAATAATCTCAAAAATGCAATAAAAAAGTTAAAGCTTTTGAAAAAGCATATTCTTAATATAATATGAATATTATTTTTTAAAAGAGAAGGATAATTGTAATAATTTTTATATATTCTTGTATTTTCTTGTATTATATTCATCATTTTTTATGTTATATTTATTATTTTTTGCATAATATATAAGAAATTAATACAGATCTATATTTAATACTTCTTAATATTTTGCTAAATAAATTAGATATAAAATGTAGATTACATTATTAATTTAGATATACTTTGTTTTTAATTTTTTTTATTTTTATTCATTTTTTATTTTGTATTCATTATTTTTAATTTTGTATTAATTATCTTTTATTATTATTTATATTTTATATATATCTAATTAAGTATAGTATAACTTGGAGACACGTTATTTTTAAGATTAATAATTTAGAATCAATCACTCTTTATTTATTATTAATTTATTTGTAATTCGTTAAACATCAATTATATATTTAAATATCTCTGTTTTGTACTATAGCTCTTTAGATCTTTTCACTATTTAATAAATAAAAAATAAGTTTTATTAAAATTAAAACTGAAAACTATCTCAATTAATATAATTTATTTACAATAATTAATAAATTATCTTAATTTTATTCATATAAGAAAGTATTTTTACAATGTAACTATAAAGAAGTTTTTTTTATTATATTTATATGTAAATGAAAAAGCAAAATAAGATAACTATAAAGTGATGTGACTATAAATGGGTATGATTATAGAGAAGTTTAACTGTAGTCAATAAATTTTTACAAATTTTATAATTATACAATATTAAAAGAAAAATGGAAACTAATTTCTAGAAAAATATATAAAAAATAATACTGTAATATAATAAAATTTAAGTAAAATATATTGTGATTTCATCTTTAAATATTAAATAAAAAATTATTGTGACTTTTTTCTATTAATATAAATTCAAAAATAAAATACAAATATAAAAAGTTTTTTTAATTCTTTATTATTTTAATTGACAGATTTTATTAATTTTTCATCAAACTTCATAATTAAATACATCATCCATTTATACATTTCAAAGCAAATAAATTTGCTAAAATAGCTAAATATTCTTTTTATTTCTAAAGAAATACAAATGATTACAAATTCAATATTATATTAAAATACATAAGTACAAAGTTTTTTTTGTTGAATTAACATGAAAATATAACACTTTTGAGAGTTTTATGCAATAAAAATATTTTATAATTTTTTCTTATATCAAATTTGTCAATCGATTTAGTGATGACTTAACGATCACTAATTAATATTAACATTACTCTTAAATCTCTTCTGACCCATTGTTAAATCGAGATCTGACTATATGTATAAGAAATTAAATAATAATCATTGCTTTGATTATTTTCTTATTATATGTAAATCTTTAAATTTTTTGAAGCTCACAATTTTTATAAAAATTAATTAAATTAACTGCTTGATCGATAACATTATAACGACAATGTAAAAAAAAATCGACGTTACTAAATCACACCACTAACACCAGTGTTAAATTAACCAATCGAATTGCAGGATCGGCGTGTAACGAAAAATTCAAACGAAACGAATTTTTGAAAAATGGCCTGTATCTCGAAATTCTGCTTATGAAACTGCTTTTTGTATACTAACAACAAATCTTCCTTGCGAAATTTTGGGTTAGATTGGCCTTATTTTGCCCCACCCAAATCCTATTTTTTTTTTGGTGTTTTACGCCACTGTGATTTATAATTTTCGAAGTCTCAAAAATCAGGAAAGCGATATCTTGTGATCCACAATTTCCAATCCAGACAAAAAATACACTTTGATTTGTCTAGTCTTGACGAATCAAATGGTGATATTTTCACGAGATATCACGTCTCAAGTGCCAAATATCAGGTGATTTTATTAGAAAGACACTTCCACCTGATCAAGATAAGTCATAATTTTTTAAATTTTTTTGCTCAAAATTAAAATGAATGCATTGTTTCCAAACACATTATCATTAAATTCACCTAGTTTTGGTGAATTCAATTGTAGTAATTTTTACAAAAATGGTTTGGTAATTCATATTTTAATTTGGACCCTCAATTTGAAACAGCCAAATTCCACCAAAATCCAGCCACTATTTCATTAAATCTCAGTAAATATGTGGCTTTATGGAACTAAAAAACTGGATTTTTGTCTGATTATTTTTTTATAGGGATGGTATGCTCACTTATTTTAAATAGCAACTAGACCAATAGATTTTATTAAAAATATATGCAAATGGTCAATTGATTTGATCAAATAAGTAAATTGAAACAAAAAAATCAGTTATTGAATGAATGTATATTATCTGACTAATTCGTTACCAACATTTAGGTTATTATTAGTGTTTTTTCGTAATATAAAATTCACTTATTAGTAAACTTGAATAAAATTACAATTAAATAAAATATTGCCGCTCGTCTACTGATCGAATTTAAGTGTAGTATGACACATTTGATTTGTTCGCAGAACACGTGCCGCTGCTTGAATTTCCATTTGCCCAAAAAATAAAGAAAATTCTATATCTTGTTTTTGTCCCCGAGGATCTTTCGGGACATCTATAATAATATACGATAAATCATCGATGAGCAATCAACATGAAAAATAACAAATCACGGATCTAAAAACTAACCTATCTCCAGTAGTCCTAAACGCGTCAGTCCATCACAATATAACTCGTTTTCATTGTTCGATGTATATACAGGGAATGAGACTCGCGTCTGGTCAGCATGATTTGTAGAATATTTATTTTTGTATTCTTGATTGACGTCTACCATCTCCCCACGAGTTGCTAATTTGTCGAATCCTCTTACACGACCATCTGGTTCTCTACGCGCAAGCATATCTTTTGCTTTGTCCCATTGTCTGTAACATTCTATGCCGTATGTCCATTTTAATACACGTGTTTTCACAGAACTTTCGTTAATGCCTATTAAATTGAATATACAATTGTTATTAACAATACAAGAAATATTCTGATGCAGTTAAACGTAAAAATTCCGCTTACCATACTAAGAAATCAGATAGAGCCAAGCATTATTTAATGTTAGACATAAATTCAATAATAGCATTTATAGCAAATACGATGATCTATAATTTAAACAAGCAACTTACTAAAACAGCACCACGAACAATAGCAGTGACAGCCTGATGTGGTGCACAAATCATCGTTGATGGTGATTCAAATCTCTCCTTCACTTTTCTTAATAAATACGGCGATTCTCCAAACCCACCACACAAAAAGATCGCTTGACATTTCACTTGAGAAGCATCAAGCTGCTTCTGAACCAACGAGATAATGGCGTCCACAACCGGCCTGAACATTGATTCTACGGTATCAAAATCAAGTGGAAT